CTTCTTCCACTAATATCCCTTATTTAAAATAAAATATTAATCTATCCTATACGTATCTAATCCATCCATCAATCAATCTCTTTAAACTGACAAAATAAAGTCCAACTTTAAATCATTTCAATCTATTTGACAGAATTCAAATTTCATCCAGTTAATTTTCATAACTATTCACATCCATGTTATCAAACAAACAGATCATCTTATTAGATTAACTCAACATTACATAATAATTTTCTTACAAATAAACCTATCATTCTAAAAAAAATAAAAAACCCCACATTCTTAATCTTTAAGCTGAAAAGATAATATCAAACCTTAAATCATTTCAATCCCTTAGACATCAAACAAACAAATCATCGTACTAAAAATAATAGTTTTCATATCGATAAACCCATCAATTCAAAAAGTACATTCTTAGTCAATTTAATATATATCTTCCATTAATCGCTCATTTCTCCTACATCTTGCTCATAATCTTAGTCCTTAAATCAGTCCATAATTCTAAATTGCCTTTAATTCATTACATAAAATTTTAAATTTCACTTCTTTTCAGTTGTATTCTGGGCTTCTTCTTCTGCCAGGTAGGTTTCCATAACAGAGCTTCCCTTCCAACTGATAAGTCTCTCTTTGTTGCTTGCAGTGTCATTTGAATCCATGTAAACCATCTTGGCCTTTGCATTGGCCCTCTGTTTCTCTTAACCATAAAATTTCATTGCTTTGACATTTCAAATCTCAGTTTTTGCTTTTCCTGGTCCTCAAAACCATAGGTGAACTGCTTATCAGGCAAAGTCAATTTCTCTTTATTCTCTTCTTGTGTAGTCTGTTTTATAGAATAATCAGAAGTAGTTTGAGAGTCAATTTTGAAGTTTAAAGGAAAGATTCTGGCTCTTAATTCTGTAGTAAACTCTTTCATTGTAGCACATATCTCTTCTTTAGCTTCATAAATCTTTTCCAGAATAAGTTTACAATTTAAGTGTGAATGCAGCTCCATTTTAAAAATTATTCAGCTGGATCAGGTTATCTTTCTCTAAAAAAAAACAAACAGTTTGATGGCCAAACATCTCATCTCCAAATAGTCAAGAATTATAATATTAGCTTTTGGCCAGTAGATGTCCTCAGTAAGCTAAAAAATCTTTTTCAAGAGTCATTTCCCCCCCCCTTTTTTTTTCTATTTTTTAAGGAAAAAGTGGAGGAAGAAATGCTCTTCCAATATAAGATAGTAGTAGCGCTCAGCAAGAAAAAAAAACAGCATAAGCTGATAATACAGCTCTTAAGAAAAAAAAAAATTTGGTACCCCAAAACATGTATAAAAAAATGTAGTCTTTAAAATTTTGTTTTAATCTTTGTTCAACACCTTCCTTTCCAAACAAGTAGAAGCTGCCTTTCCAAGCCAGGGAAATAATTCCGACAAGGCTCTTACAAGCAAAAAAGAAAGAAAACAAAGTAGAAGGAAAAATAATTCAGGACGGAGAGAGGGAGGAAAGGTCTCACCCGGATTCACCACAGTGGTTCTTTATGCTTAGATGATTTTCTGACTTCAGCTGGCACAGCGAAGTGATTGGCCATTTAACTGACCAATCTTCTTCTCCATCGGCCCTACGGAGTTAGCTTGGACTGTAGGGGGAGCTGCCGCTCCACCGCAGCCGAGCAAAAGCCTCCTCGACAGTGGTCGCCCCTCCAGGGCGATTTAAGACCCGCATAAGGGTCTACCGGTAGAGAGAAAAGCAGCCAACGAAGAGCGACAGCTCTTCGTATGGCTGAAGCTGCCTGATCCGGAAGCGGAAGTCAATATTTCATATTCTTAACGACATGTTTCTTAAATAATGTTTCTTAAAATCTACATTCATGTTCACTTTGTCATATCATAAGAAATCATGCCACCCAAAACTCAGACTGAACATTGAGATCTAAAATTTGATTATTTCTTAACAATATCCATTACTTCATCCATATAAAACAACATACAGCAAAGTACAATTTGTGATTAGATACCTATAATCTACTTTTTTTTGGTATCCTGTAAAATCTTATATTTGCCTCTTGGTTTTTCCCCCCTCTTTTGATAAAACGTTTTGCCATTGTTTGATAGGTACATCATTTTTCATTATTGGCATAGTCTGGAGTAAAAATACTGGAGTTATTCTTTGATAAATTTCTACTTTATGGATCTCTTTAGCTCACCTATAGTCCCACTCCAATGATGAAAGATAAATCTCCTGGTCTTCCCTTCTATCAGATGGTTCCTAAAGAAGAGCTTCAATATAAGGGGATTCTGTCTCTGCTTCTGCACTTTGGATGGACATGGATTGGAGTGATTGTTATGGATAATGAGAATGGAGAAAGATTTGTGGAAATTGTGTTTCCCATGTTTACTCAGAAGGGCGTCTGTCTTGCATTCATAAAAAAAATTCCTGTTGTAACGTTTATTAGTGATTTGTTTGAGATGCTGCATAAAGGGGAGAAGATTTATGATACTGTGATCAGGAGTAAGGTTACAGTAATACTTGTCTATGGTGAATCTCATTCCCTGGGATTGTTTAGGTTTGCATCTTATTTATCAGATGAAGAAGTAGACAGTAAACCTAGGAAACCCCTAGGAAAGCTATGGATTGTCACAGCCCAAATGGAGATTGCTTCCTTTGGATTTCAAAAGTATTGGGATTTAGGAATTTTCCATGGAGCTTTAGGCTTTGCATTTCATTCCAATGATGTGTCTGGATTTCAGCAGTTTATTGAGAGTCGAAGCCCTTCCACCACAAAAGGAGATGGTTTTTTCAAAGGCTTTTGGGAGCAGGTTTTCAACTGCCGATTTCTAGGTATGTTTATCAATAAAGAAGAGGAGAATATTTGCACTGGGCAGGAGAAACTGGAGACAATCCCTGCCCTCTTTTTTGAACTGTCCATGTCTGGCTACAGCTACAGTATCTACAATGCTGTCTATATGGTTGCCCATGCTTTACATGCCATGTTTGCATCTGGGCTCAAATATAGAGCAATGATGGATGGTGGATTACAGATTCATAACCAGACATTTTGGCAGGTAATGTAACATATAAGCCCTTGAGTTAACTGAAAAACCTGACAGTGACTTGCTTTTATTTTCTATCTCATGAAATTATTTCAATTTAATGCAGTCTTGCAATTCCCACTACTGGTCTCTGTGCTTCCTTTTTGTTCTTAATATAAAGAACTAGTAGTAGCAGCTCTATTAGCAAGTATTGGGAAACTATGAAATTAATTTAAATAATAAATATATTTTGAATGATTAATTAAATACATGTACTTTAAAGAGCCCAGAAACCTTTGATTTACTGAAGCCTTTTCATATGCAGCATTTATAATATATTTCGCTTTTCATTGCATTGTAGCTTCCTAATTTTTTGAGACATTCCACATTTAATGACAGTATTGGAGAAAAGATGACATTTGATGAAGATGGGAATTTAGTAGCTGGATTTGATGTAATCAACTTTATTTTTTCTGAAAACCAGACAATAAAGAAAATAGGAAAGATAGATCCACATTCTTCTCCAGACAAAATGTTAATCATCAAGAAGGATGCCATAACATGGAATAGCTGGTTTAACCAGGTGGGTCCCAGGAACTGACTACTTGGGAAATCTTTGTTCCATGTGTGATCACTGAATCTTAGCCATTATTTTAAATCCTGTTGAATTATAAAAGAGATGCAAGCTATCTTGCTCTGGATCTTTGGTCTTATTCATTAATAAAATTTATCGTAACTGATCTCTAGTAGATGTGTTAAGTTTATTATTAAGTAGAGTGCTATAATTAAAAGTCACAGTAAGCTAAAAATCACATTTACCTAAACAATAAGCTGAAATGTACAAATATGGACAAAATAGGCATTATTTCAAAGCCAACAATATATAATTTTCTTGCGGAATATAGGTCTATATACAGGATTAACAATTAATAATATTAGGGGTGAACAATATCAGGAATATGAATGTATTCTCCAAACCATTAGAAAAAAAACAAGAGTAGTTTGGTTCCTCTTGATTTATCCCATTAAACAAGCAGGGAAAGAAAGAATTTATTTTATTCATTGGTTTCAAAATGTAAAAAAACCCCAGAACCAATAATAAATAGATAAAGAAATATTAAAGAAATAGAAATGGGAGGATTTTTTTGCACAATGATTTTCATTTTTAGTTTAAAAAAGTTAAAATACAAAGCTAAAAAAAGAAAGAAAAAAGAACATTCACAGGGAGAAACAAAAAAAACCAAAAGAAACAAAATATTTAAAAAGTGCATTAAAAAAACTACAAACACACCTACACATATTATCCCTCCTAGTTGAGTACTGATAAATATATTACAACAATATTAGTTTCCCACTCTTGCAAAACAGGCTCCAAAAGTTTTCAAACTTCTAATTCTGTTTACAAATTATTAATCTGTCATCTATCTACTATATTAATGACCAAATAGTTAACAGATAGAACAACAAAAAGGCAAAAGTAAAATATCAAAGCCCTCTGTTATCAAACTATTCAATTAGCATTCAACTGGTAGGAAGTTTACCATGGCTTCTTATCGGTCTGATTTGCCTTGGATCAAATATCTTATCAATTATTGTCTAGTTAAATATAGTAGATCCAGTTTCCAAAGTCAATCTATCTTCCCCCAAAAGTCCAACTTAAGTTGTTTTCGAGTTGAGTATGATAAATTCATTCTCCAATTCCTTCATTTGACCAGTCAGTTTTCTGCTGTTATAAGAAAATGCAAACCTGAGCTTCAGAAGGCACATAAAACATCTATCTTTTTCAATCTCCTTCACTGAATCTACCATTTTCAAATCCAATTCCTTTTGTGAATCTAATCTAACTCCAAGTACTTGCACTTGAATGTTTTTTGCAAGCATTATTATTTTATCAAACTGTTCAAAAGTTTTCAACTTGGATTTACCAACCACAGTTTGTTGCTTGTAATCTGATACATTGTTGCTCTGGTGTAACTTGGCAATGGAGAAATAACCCTTCTCAGACTGGGAGGATATTTCTCAAAATAAAGAGGCAGCAAGAACATTTTTAGATGTTTCAGTCCAGGATAAAAATGATTTTTGAAAACATAATCTCCAAAGTGTAGTGAAAGTCCAGTATAGATGTATATCAAGTCCAAACCCTTCCATTACTACAGGACATGCTTTTATTTACAGGAAATAAATGATGTTCAAAAAAAGCCAAAAAGATCAAAAGAAAAAGAAAAAGAAAGAAAGAAAATCAGCAGTCAACCAGCCAGTCAACATTTAGTGATAAAAAGCAAAGCAAAACAGAAGCTTTGAAAAATGTAGTTAATACCCATGCATGCTTAGAAAACGTTCTGCCAAAAGGAAAAAGATGAATGACCAGGTTTTCTGACACTAGGAATTGTAATCTTCAAGATTCCTCATCCTGGGTGGGTCCACAGATATCCAAAAATGATCTTAGATCATTCCTAAGTGCTCTCATTCAAAACCAGGGAGCAGGGCTGCTAAAGAACCATCTCTGGCAGCAAAAAATGGGCAGTTTGTCAGCAGGAGAGAAAAACCTCCCTCCTGTTCAGCAGCCAGCATGAAGAAGAGTCCCAGAACTGGGAGGATTCTTGAATGTTGCCAGTTCTGCAACCTGTATTTTATTCATCTTCCTCTGCCCATTTGTTAATGTGCTTCTTAAAATGTCATTATTCAACCAATCACAGGATATAATCAAATCAGAATAAAATGGGAGGATTGTTTTCTGTTATCTGAATGTTGAGTATCTCTTGATGTAGGCAAGAGAAAATTAGTATTTCTGTTTTCTTTATGCAGACACAATTGTCCTGCTGACTCTGGGTCCACTTGTGAATACTATAGTAGCTTTACTATAACATGCCCTTAAAAAGAAATCTTTTCTTAAACATACTCACATATATTATTGAAGTTGGGATATCTATTTTTTGCTTTTTAACTGTAATGTTTCCTGAAAATTTAAATTGAGCAATGAATATATGATACAGTTTGTTCAGGACTTGTATTATGTAACCTTATAAAAATATTTGGAAATCTAATCCATGGAATTTAAATGGCAGTTCAATATTTAAATAAGAAAATGACATTATTATTGGAAATATGTCCTGAAGACATGGATGTATTGCAGACATATTACACAGAAGGAAAAGCCCCAGGAAAAGCAATGCTTCTAAGGACATCAATTTTAAGACCATAATTTATGTTGTTGTTTTGTTTCTTTACAAGCTAGACACAGCCCGTTTCTCTCTGTACGCCAAGCTGTTCTCCAGGTTCTAGTAAACAAGTCATAGAGGGTAAGCCATTCTGCTGCTACTCTTGTAACCTATGTCCAGAAGGAAAAATTACAGAAATAGAGGGTAAGGATAGAATATCATTGTCATACTGTTGCTTCTAGAAAGATATATTACTTAAATATTATTTAGACATGAGTGTATGTATGTATGCATGTAGACATACATAGATACATGTACTATATATATTCTGTTTGTCAATTTGTAAAGCCTCCTTCTCCTCCTTCTCCTTTTATAAACTTTATTTGTTTAGGCATAAAGGCTAGACTGGAAAAAAAAATCTTGAGCCCTGTTATATTGCATAGGTAAAATATATAAGAGACATGATTCTATTCCCTAAAGTAATTTATATAAGAAATGACCAATATTTTTATATGGTACTTTCAAATAGGAGTATAATGATGATGTTATTGTAATTGTTCATATAAGAGATGCATATCTGATTTCATAGACCTGGTCACAACTAAGACATTTATTTCCTACTTGGAGTAGAGTATAATGTAATATTTAAGCCTATACAGTATAATGTTATCAAGGTTATAAAGATTTACAAATCCATATCAGTTTGATGATACATCCTTTTCATTTCAGATATGAATGACTGTTATGATTGCACAGATGAAAATTATCCCAACAAAAAGCAGGATTCATGTATTCCCAAAGATATAAGTTTTTTGTCATATAAAGAACCTTTGGGGATCACTTTAGCCTGTTTTTCTTTTTTCTGTTCCACAATCACAGTTCTGGTACTAATGACATTTTTAATGCATCACAACTCTCCCATTGTCAAAGCCAGCAACCGGGATCTCACTTATATTCTCCTCATCACCCTCCTGCTCTGCTTCCTTTGTATATTACTATTCATCAGTCAGCCCAATAAGGTGGTATGTGTTCTCCGTCAAACCAGTTTCAGCATCATCTTCTCTATGGCTATTTCCTGTGTGCTGGCCAAAACTCTGACTGTGGTCCTGGCTTTCATGGCAACTAAGCCAGGAAGCAGGATGAGCCAATGGGTGGGTAAAAGATTAGGCTATGCTTTTGTTTTATTTGGCTTCTTAATTCAGACTGGGATTTGCAGTCTATGGTTGTCCATCTCTCCTCCTGTCCCAGATGCTGACCTGCACTCAGAACCTGGAAAAATTGTCCTACAGTGTAAGGAAGGGTCATTAATTTTGTTTTACTTTGCAAGGTGTTATATGGGCTTCTTGGCAATGACCAGTTTCATAGTTGCTTTCTTTGCCAGGAAATTACCAGATACTTTTAATGAAGCTAAGTTCATCACTTTCAGTATGTTGGTCTTCTGCAGTGTTTGGCTCTCCTTTGTTCCAACCTACCTGAGCACCAAGGGGAAATACATGGTGGCTGTGGAGATCTTCTCAATGTTAGCATCAAGTGCTGGGCTGCTGATCTGTATCTTTCTCCCCAAATGCTACATTATTTTTCTGAGACCAGCCCTGAACAAAAAGGAACTAAGAATAAAAAGAAATTGCTGAATGTATTAAAGCATTTTGCTTTGATCTGTGCTATTATACATATAGCAGAATTACCATAGAACAGGGGTGTCAAACTGCTGGGGCACGTCATCCGGAAGCCACGCCCACCCCGTTGCCAGCAATGGTAAAACTATCCCAATACGTCTCATGATGTCACATGATGTCATGAGTTTGACATGTCTGCCATAGAACATTGGACTATAATTTAAATGGAAAAAGTAGTCAGAAAGCTATTTTTTCCATTGTTTACACTTTTATTTTTCCAAAGCTCAAGTGTATGAACATGCCAATTACTGTAACTTCTTATTTAGTTAATAACTTTGACAGATGGTGTTTATTTTCTTTATAACAACACTGAACAAATAGTGGTTAATGCAGGACAAAGTGTCCCACAAAGTCATTACAGACTGCAGGCAGATACATGGATGCCACGGTCAGACACTATATGTAGAACAGTAAATTCCAACTTCCCGTCAGCTTCTCCATTGATTTTGCTTGTGGGAAACCAGCCGGGAACATTGAACTTTCTGATCATATAACTGCAGTTCACTGCAGTTTTATAATTGTAAGCTGGGCAATGAATTAGGACTATGGAGATTCTACATTGACAGGAAGTCCAAAAACCAGTGATAAGTCACCCTGGTTTAGAGCCATCATAACTTTGAACAATCACTGAATGACTGGACATAACCCAAAGACTACCTGTTATGAAAAAGAAGAAAATAAATGTTATTTAGACCAGGATCATATTTATTGCTTGGTTCGTTACAAGGGGTGTGAAAATTGAAGCAATTGGGGATGTTTATTTCTGTATAAGATTTATATGGCTTCCCATTTGAAGCAACTCAGAAGAGCTCACAGTAATCATAAAGGAATAAATAATCATAAAAACAATAAAACAAAAGAACCTGTTTTTTACATATATAATTCCAGCCTCTTAGTAAAACACCAGGTGTTAACAACCTTCAAAAGGGCTAGAAGGATGAAGGCCTGCCAAATTGTCAGAGGGAATGTGTTCCATAAAGTATAGGTAGCTACAGGAAAAGCATGTTTCCAAGATTACACTAAAGCGTGCCTGGCTGAGGAATTCTGGGAGTTGAAGTCCACAAGTCATAAAAGGCCAAGTTTGAAGACCCTTGCACTAGATGGTGATATTTCAGGTAAAGAACCCGAGGAGGCCTGCCCCATCTGATCTAGTGGATATTCTGAGGCAGAGATTGTCCCTCAAATAACCAGGTCTTATGTCATGTAGGAATTTACAGATAATGAGCACCTTGAATTTTACCTGGAATAAAACTGAGAACTAGTACAGTTTGCACAATAAATATATAACATGGGTAAACCTATGGACATCCATTACTATGTGCTCTGCTATATTCTGGACTAGTTCCAATTCTGAGTGGTCTTCAAGGGAAACTTGATTTAAAGCACAGTATAACAATCTAGATGGAAAGTTACTAAGGCCACGAGGAAGGCACACTGGTCCAGGAAACAGCATAATTGTCACATAAGATGGATTTGTGCAAACCCTCTCCCCCCAGTCATGGTTGCCACTTATTCTTCAAATAGGAGCTAGGAATCCAGGAGGACCCCCCAAATTGTGCATCAGCTTAGTCCAGGGGAATGCAAATTAGTCCAGAGTGAAAGATGACAAATCCACAGATCCTGCAGGGACAAAAATCCAGAGCCATTCTTCTTTCCAGGTTTATCCTCATCCAAACTTTTAGAATCTCCAGGCACACAGGCAACACCACATGTCTGCCCTGAATAGAGATGTGTAACTGGGTATCATTAGCATACTGATAAAATTGTACCCTGTGATATTAAATGACCTCACCCAGTAGTTTCATGTAGATTTTAAGAAGATAGTGGAGAGATCCAATCTCTGAGGGATTGCATACTGCAGGGACCTAGGGCTTGGCCTCTTGTTTCCCACAAACATCAAATTGAACTGATCATGCAAATTGAACTGATCATGCAAAACATGCCTCCCAATCCCAATCCTTGGAGTCGGTCCAGAGGAATTCCATGGGTGATGTATCAGAAGCCACTGAACGATCCAGAAGAGCCAGGAGAGTTACACTACCATAAACCTGGGTCCTCCAAAGATCATCCCCAAGTACAACTGATGCCATCTTAGCGCTAGATACTCCAACTTAAATCCAGACTAAAAGGGGCCATTTGGGTAGGAAGCATGTAGAAAAATTGAGAGTATACTTAACAATATCTTCAAAGTGGGGAGGGCAAATGGGGACAGTACCACAAAATGTTGAGGCATACAGCCACAGCAAATAAAAAATAAAAAAAAAATACTGAAGTCCCTCCAGTTTTATTAAAATAGAATAAGAAGGAAAATCTGGAATCTCTTTCTCTTTTTAAATGATCCAGTTTCTGCAAAGAAACCTAGTGTTACTTACCACCATAATGAAAATTTTACAAAAAATATGTCTGAAAGTGTTTTCAAGAGCTAATTTATTCCAAGTGCTGATACTCATTCCTTTTGTTTCTGCCAAATATGTTGAAAAGCTGATTATATCTATGATGAAGTGCATGAATATCATATCTACTGCAATCTTAACTTTTGTTATCTCTCTTCCCAATTCTCAATTTCTAACAAATGACAAATGTGTTTTCTGTAGAAATTCCAAACAAAACTTAATAATTTCTTACTCAAGCGGATGCATGAGAAAATATTTTTTCAAAAAGGACAAATGTGTTTTCTGTATAAATTCTACAAAGAATTCCAGTTCCGAATAAATAACAATTCCCTATTCACTGAATTGGTGAAGGAGCATAATTAAATTAGCAGGTGTGAAACTGCTGCTATTCCCACAAATCAGTACAGTAACATACTCAGTTTATTATGGCATAAATATGATCTCAAGCAGTTGGGAATAGAGGTAAGGAGCAGGTGTGTGTCAATATGGTCATCCATATTTAACATTTAGAACTCTAAGTCTGTCAGAGAATTGTCCTTGTATACAAGTGACTTTTATAAAAATAACAACTGTGATAACCATGAATAGATAGAAAAGGAATCAACAGAAGGAACTGTTTTATTTGTCTTCAACATGTTAATAGCAATCATAGTCCTGTTAACACTACTTCAATACATGGCATACAAACCACTCACTGTGAAATGCAGTGTCAAATATCCAGGACAACCACTTCACAAATATCACCAGAATGGAGACTTCACCCTTGGAGGAATTGCATCTCATGGACTTTTCCTGTCATATGCTAAAGATTTCAGAAAAAACCCTCTACCATCCTTGCCAGAAGAGCTTATGTAAGCAATTTGTTTTTGCACATCATCCTAGTTTATGTTTTTCTAGTAGTGTTTTTTCATCCTCATACTATAGAAAAATATCAATGCAACTAAAAGAATTTTCAATAGGTAAGCAGCTGTGACTTGGATATTTAAACATAACTTTGACTGTAGAATTTGCTAAAGTGCAAAAGGAAAGTATTTAATTTTTCTAAATCTTATTTTAGAGAAATATTTGCTCACCACCATGGTTTTGTTTTTTTGAGTCAAAGAGACCTTTCCAGGTCCGATAGCTTAACTTTTAAGCTTTTGGAAAAAATATTTTCAAATAATACTTTAAAAAAAATCTTGAAATATGAATTTGATAAAATTAAATCAATCCTCTTACAAACTCTTGTATCACAGCAAGTTCTTTTATTCTTCTGACTTAGGTTTCAATGCATCTTTCTAGCCTATTCAAGTTATTTTCAGTTTAACTGTTCTGTGAGATACATATGTCAATTGTCTATATCAGTGATGGCGAACCTTTTAGAGACTGAGTGCCCAAACTGTAACCCAAAATCCACTTATGCATCATCGGGGGCCGGATGGGTGTGGCCCATTGCTGGGTGTGGCCCATTGGCTGAGTGTGGCCCATTGGGTGGGCATGGCTGCGGTGGTAACAGCAGACTGGGTGGGACTAAAAAGTTCAATCAATCAATTCCAACTTTGCAAGATTTTTTTCCCCGCGAGAAGTTGAAATTGACTGATTGATTGAAACTTTTTTTTTTTGCACACGGCGGCAGAGGCCTAAAGCGAAAAGATTTTATAAAACCCAGCTGAAGGCCTAGGACTGGGGCAACGGCGTGCATGCCCACAAAGAGGGCTCTGAGTGCTGTCTCTGGCACCCGTGCCATAGGTTCACAACCACTGGTCTATATATTTAACAGTTTTTCCCCAGTTAGATTTATTGTCCAGCTTCATAAGTCTTAACATTTGTTGAAAATATCTTTTCATGAGGCTGATTAAAAACAGTGATGATGTACAATCAAATTTAGAAAAAACATGTTATGTTACCATTCAATATGTTTAGTATTACACAGAAGAAAAAATAGTAAACAGTAATAAATATGACAGTAATGCATTAACTTTTGGACATGTGGAGCATTTCACTGACATACAGCCCAATTCTTCTTTGTAGAATACTTCCTATGAATTATCAGCATATCCTGGCCTTGGCCTTTGCAGTAAAGGAGATCAATAAAAATCCTCAGATATTACCAAATATAACATTGGGATTCCATATTTATGACAATTACTACAATGCAAAAATGACATTTCATTCCACAATGCTACTTACATATACACTAGAAAGATTTTTTCCAAATTATGACTGTAATATGCAGAAGAAACTCCTTGCAGTGATTGGTGGACTAGATTCTCTTACTTCTCTTGATATGGCAATAGTCCTGGAAATCTACAAGATTCCTCAGGTAGCACATATGAAAAAATGTGATGTTTCTTTTAGTTGTCCTCACTTAATGTATCTGAATCAGAATATATGTATTGTATGTACAGTATAGTAATATCCAATGTAAGAGTGTAGAACAATTGTTCAGTTTTTAACTTGGACTTTATATATGATACTTGATTTAACATTTATTTGTCTTAAATTTGGGGAAATCTTAATTAAGAATCATATCATTAATGTTCCAATTTTTAATAAAATATATAGTTGAATCAAACTGTTAAAATGAATTTTCCAACTTCTGAGTTTTCCACAGTACAGTATATTCATCAATTCATCAATCTACATCTTTAAAAATCTCAGAGAGCTGAAAAGAATTAGGAATGTATATTGTAGACACAGATTTTGCAGTAGTATAGAAAGAGGATGAAAATAGTGACTCAACTCCCCACACAAAAATACAGATAAAATGAAATAGATGTTGCAGAGAGTACATTTCTCCTAGCATCCACCGAAATATATGTTCTTAGGGAGAAACTGTTATCTTCTGGAACCATAGTAAAATTACCAAATCCTGATTATGTCACAGATTATGAACCTTTTCCTGCAAAGTTACAACTAAAATGTTGGGATTTGATTTGGTAAATAGAATGCATAAAAAACTATGCATGCAACTAAAATAATAATAATAGTATTATTAAAGATGAATCAAAGAGATCCAGAAATACAAAAATTAAAAGGCAGTGAACTGGTGTTTACAATTATGTTGTGCTATCTTAAGAAGGCAGAAAGTAAATTGAAACAGAGACATAGGAAAATTCTAGAGAAGAGCAAGAAAAGACAAAGAGCCATATCTAAATGAGTAATACAAAGAAATTGTGTAAAAATAAATGGGAAGGAAAAGAGATCTATTAAAAATGATGTACTTTTTCCCAAAAATTAATTTCAATATCAGTTTATAAACCTTAGCAATAATATGTTCACCATTACCACACAATAGAGTTTTCAATTATTTTTTGCAAAGTCCATAACTTTTTAAATCTAATTTAAAAATTTATTTCAATTGTAAATATGGAATCCAGTGATACATCCTTCTGATTCCAACTCTTTAGATTTGAGGATAGGTTCACCTTTTATTATTTGACCATAGTTCCACCAGTCTGGCCTTACCATTTTGATATTTATGCCTATTTTTTTCATCCTGTCTTAATATATATATTTATTTTTTAAACCAACAAAACAAAACAAAACATAACACACATACACACACAGTATATATTCCTCCCTTTTTTTTACAGCGATTTCGTAACAGTAATCTTCTATTATTTACATTTTTCCCCCTTATTCTTCTTTAGAATATTTGTCCTTGTTGCCCCATTATTTCTTATTTGCATTTTTCTTCCTTCATACATTATTATACATACATTTTCCACTTTTAACCTTTCCACATTTATTCTCTCTTATTTCTACTCTCCAACCAGTCATACCACTTGTTCCATATTAAATAGTATTCTGTGTCTTCCTTTTCTTTTATCTCTTTTGTTAATTTGTCCATCTCAGCACAGTCCAGGATTTTTCTTATCACTTCTTCCTCTGATGGTATATTCTCATTTTTCCAGAA